TTTTGATTTAGTAAACTACTATGTTACTAAAATTTGCACATTAGTAGTACTTATTGAGGACTTGAATCAGAATTACACTAAGAAAGCTTTTTACTGCATAATATTTGCAATGTTGTAAAATTCCTGTTGTATGTGCACACTCATAAAAGGGTAGAAGACAGTTGTCCTGAGTTGTTCATGGCTTATAATAGCTGTTCTTTTTCTTTCTTAATTATTTAATACTAAAATTTAGTTTTATTATAATCACCATGGTTTAGTGGGAGTTGTCTAGTTAACTCTAGAGTTTACGGAGATGCGTATTTTAATCAATACCATTTTGGACTTACATGTGGATATTAAGACATGTATGTGTTGGAGTTCAAATATGAATAAATCATACCTTTTATGCTCAGATAGATAACATGCATTATCTCCTGCCCTTCACCTTGCTTGTAGAGATACTTCATTGCAAATAGCAAACTCTATTCTCCTGGATATTGCAAACAGGTTGGTAGCGGGTGTTAGGCCCCTGCGCGCACTGTTAATATGGTCTAAATAGATTAAGAATTGCTGCTTTAAATGATTTATTAAATTAACGTGTCTTGTCAAATCTTTATTTATATGTTCTACTTAAGTTGCTTTCTTCCATTTTATACTAACTTTCCTTTTCCTGTACCCTAGATGGACTATAATAAATATGGATGCAACATAGAATACTTCTGGCGCTAATAAACCCACATACTGCTGAGTTTTAATTTAACTTCGCATTAAAGACAAATTTACTGTAATTGGTTAGTACAGGAGCATTATGCATGGCTTGGCTAGATTACTGCTACTTCATCTTGCACTAAACAATATTCCAAGTTTGACTGGGTATGAGATCATGCTAGGGGCTGCATGTAGCTCAGATCAGACAGGATGGCTAAACTTAACCTCCATGTGGCTAAGATACGTGGCAGGGCTAAACACTGCTTATCAGTGGAGCATAACATAAATTATTCTGTCACTTGGCTGAATTATTCTGGAATTATAGTCTGCCATGCCCTACTCTGTGTTGCAAGTAGACCATATTATGCACTCATAGGCCCTTCAGTTTATGTGTATTTTCAATATTAATTTCATAAATTTTACATAATCGTATTATTTTAGCACTAGAAAAAACCAAAACCAAACCCATTGCCGTCAAGTTGATTCCTACTCATAGCAACCCTTAGGACAGAGTAGAACTGCCCCATACAGTTTCCAAGGAGGAGCTGGTGGATTTGAACTGCCGACCTTTTGGTTAGCATCTGAATGTTTAACCACTGCGCCACCAGGGCTCCTTTAGCACTAGAGGGCATTTGAAAATCATCTAATTGTTTATTTCTTGTCTTAGTCAGGAACCCATAAGACATATATGAAGAGGGATTTATTTTAAGGAATTGGCTCACCCAACTGTGGGAGCAGGCAAGTCCAAAATATGTAGGTCAGGTGACAGGCTAGAGATTCCGGCAGTCTTGTGTCCCAGATTCAGGGATAGGAGGTGAGGGAAAGAGGGAATTCTGGCAAGATGTCTACTTGTGGTCTGGAGAACACTCCCTCAGGAAACCTCTCTTTTTGCTCTTAAGGCCTTCAACTGATTGGATGAGGCTCACCCACATTATGGAGCATACTCTGCTTTACTTGAGGCCAACTGATTTAATCACATGTAAATACTTTATAACAACATCTAGACTGGTGTTGGGCCCAGCAACTGGAGAAACTGTAATATAGTCAAGTGGATACATAAAATTAGCCATCAGATTTCCCAGTCTGAGATTCATCATCCTATCTGCTACAACAGGTGCCTGGGTTATTTGAAGGTGCAGCATTTTTGAAACAGTATTCTTATTCTATGTTGCACAATAGAAGTTTTTTTTTTTTTTTTAATAAAAGGGAATTTAAAATGTTTTGGGGGAGTGTTATGGATGAGTTGTGTCCCCCTAAAATGTATGTCAACTGGGCTAGGCCACAATTCTCAGTATTGTGTGACCGTCCACCATTTTATCATCTGATGTGACTTTCCCATGTGTTGTAAATCCTCTCTCTATGATGTTAATGAGTCAGGATTAGAGACAGTTATGTTATTTAATACAGAGGTCCCCAAGCTGCAGAAAATTCCGCTGCAGCTTGTTTGGCCTGCCTCACAATTTTTGCATCAGAATTCCAGCCTCATTACTTGGCTAGCCTCACAATTCTGCGTTAAAATTGCAGTTCCTTTGCTTGGCCTGCCCCATGAAAATCCTGATGCCTGTGTGGTATGGTTAAGAATGTTGCTAACGCATGAACTCCCTACTTGTAAGCCTCTTAAAAATAACTTTTCTTCCCTCACCCTCTCAGAGCAGTCTTCGTGGCAACAGCCCCGATTGCTTCCTTTCCTTGCACAATGAAATAAAAGCACGTTTATGCTTTCCCACCTCAGTCTCTTGTTTATTGGCTGATATGAGTCACGCCGAGCAAAACCTGGGGTTTCTACCCAGTAACATAATAATAATAATCTACAATATTAGATTGTATCTTGAGTCAATCTCTTTTCAGATATAAAAGAGAGAAGTGAGCAGAGAGATCACTAAGCAAGAAGAGCCAGGAGCGTGCATCTTTTGGACCTGGGGTTCCTGCGCTGAAAAGCTCCTAGACCAGGGGAAGACTGATGACAAGGACCTTCCTCCAGAGCCAAGAGAAAGCGTTCCCTTAGAGCTGGCTCCCTGAATTTGGACTTCCAGCCTCCTAGACTGTGAGAGAATAATTCTGTTTACTAAAGCCATTCACTTGTGGTATTTCTGTTATAGCAGCACTAGATAGCTAAAACAAGGAGTTAAAACAACATTGAAAGCAAGATTCACATGAACTTTTTAGATAATACGTGAGATTTCAAAAACATTTCTGTTTGCAGCGGGTTGCTTTTAGATATTGTGTGTTTCCTACTTCTAGTGTAACAAATCACCACAAATATGGCGACTTGAAACAACACTCATTATCTCACAGTCTTGTAAGTCAGAAGTCGAATTGGCTCTCCTGGTTTCTCCATTCCAGGTGTCGTAAGGCTGAAATCAAGGAGTCGGTCTGCTGGGTTCTCATCAGGAGGCTCTGGGAGGAATCTGTTTCCAAGCTCATTCAGATTATTGGTCCAATTAGGTATTTTTCGCTCATAGGACTGAATTCTTCCTTTACTTTTTGGCTGTCAGTAGGGGATGATCTTTGCTCCTATAAAACAAACAAACAAAAAAAACCAAACCCGTTGCTGTGGTGTTGATTCCAACTCATGGCAACACTGTAGCCGCCTGGATTCCTTCTGGTGCTTTTCCATGAGCCCCTGACCCCGCTCCAGCAACAGTGGGTCCAATCTTTCTCACAGTTGCAGTTTCTCTGACTTTATCTGCTGCATCTCTCTTGCCTCCTTTTCTCCTCCAATCTGAGAAAGTTATCAGCTTTTAAGGTATCATGTGATTGATTGGGCCTACCTGAATAATCCAAGACAATCACCTCATAGTAAGGTCTGTAACTATAATTATACAGATTACCTTTATTTTACCTTAATTCCAACCAGTTGATGTCAAGTCAACTCTGACTCATGGCAACCCCATTTGTGTCAGAGAAGAACTGTGCTCCGTAGGGTCTTCAATGGTTGGTTTTTCAGAAGTAGATTGATAGGCCTTTCTTCCGAGATGCATTTGGGTGGACTGGAACCTCCAGACTTTTGGTTAGCATCTGAGCAAGTTAACCGGTGGTCCCACCCAGGGACTCCTGACCTCAATTACAGAACCTTAATTATGCAAAGTGACATGCTCACAGACTCCAGGGATTAGAGTATGGACATCTCTGGGGAGAGGGGTCATTATTCCTCCTAGCACAGATACACTGTTAGACTCTTAGGAGAAAGCTTAAGAGATACCAATATTTTTATTTTAAAGATGAGGGAAGTCAGGATCAGAGAAAACGAAGTGACACGCTAGACTTCATACAACTAATTAATGACAGTTCTATAATTAGAACCTTGTGACACTGAATTCTAGTACAATGTTTTTTTTGTTTTTGTTTTTGTTTTCTGCCTAAACATGGTGTCTGTCTGTGGAGTAATAATAACATTTAGACTTTGTCCATACAATGCCAGACAGAGAATCAAAAAGGCCAACAAAACAACTGCCATTTATAAATACCCAAATATTTATATCCAGTTGCTTAAAGATGATAGCATTAGGATACTTATTTATTTATTTTCATCTACATTTTTGGCATTGTTTGTATCCAATCTGCATCTCAGAGTTACTTAGATAAGCCAGACTCTGAAAAGTAGAGTTCTAGTTTGTGTTATCCCAAAAGAAATGTCTAACATAAAGCCTCTGTCATTTGCTGAAAGTTCAATGTTGATATATATTATAACTATGCTTAAATAAAAAAAAATCTCTGTAGTAGTTATTTATATTATCTTATAAATGCCATGGTGCAGCTGTGGCATGCAATCTCATGCCTCACAAGTGTAGTAGTACACTTAGGAGAATCTATAAAAACTTTATCCTGATACATCCAATTAGCCTTGCACCACTGTGTTCAAGGGAAGCATGCTTCGAATTTTTCAATAATTCTTCAGTGCCTGGGAAGCAAAGCAGGTAACTTCAGGGGCTCTTTGGGAGACATGGAGTTCAATTTCTGAAGGAAACTTAAATTTGCCCTGAGAAGCAGACTCTCTGCTTGCTTCTTGCTTTTCCTTTTTCTTACAGGCCTTTCTCCTTGTCTTCTGTTTTTACCTTGGTTCCGTTCTGCCTGTTGCTTGATTCTTTTTCCTAAAGCCCCTGCTTCCCCACCCCCCCAATTTTTCCATGGATTCAGCAGTGAATAATAAATTAGAGCATGTATGTTTAAGCCCTGCTGTGACAGCAACTGTAATTGCCAACTATCCCAACTTCTCTCTTACTTTCCTTCCCCCACTGCAGTTGGATTGGGCCGGTGTGAGTAGGTCTGTCCGATAGATTGTGAGTGGAAGTGCTCTGTGTCACTTCCAGGTCAAACAGTTAGGAACCTACGTGGCTCTCCCATCGCTCTCTTCTTCTACAACGACGATGCTAACATCCGTGTGTCCTAGATGGAGAACTGCAAGATAGAGGAGGGCTGCTTAACCCATATTGGATTGTAAGTGAGTAAAAACAACATACAAAACCGAAATCCTTTTTGTATTAAGCCACTAAGATTTTGGCATTTAGTCTAATCCACACTGACCAGTTCAGAAATTGGTAGCAGAAGGCGGGAACTGCCATACCAAACACTAGAACATGTCCTGTTGACTTAGCGGTTGATGGACAATGAGGAAACTGGTATTGGAGACTGAAAGAGTGAGAATCCGTATCGGACAGTGGAAGATAATTTGATATAACTGTAATTTACAATCATTTCAGGTATAGAAAGTGTGTATACGGAGGTGACAGCTCTAGGTGAAGGGATTGGAAAAGAAAACATTAGTAGGGTATCTTAGTTACTTTTGACTACGTGTGGTGGTATTACAAGAATAAGATTAGCTCAGGAAATAATTGTCTGGTTTGTTACAGAAATGAAAGGAAATACAGGGTTCAGAAATGTGGTACCTTGTAGGGCTGTAAAAGCCTACTGCTTTAGAACCCACTCAGTAAGAAATGGTATTAATAAAGGATTGGGGAGCAGATGTCTGATAAAAGCTGCCAGCTAGATAAAATGACTAGGGGCAAATCAAAATAAGTTTGAGCCTTCCCAGTCAGGTCTAAAAACCTCAAAATAGCTAACGTGTTATTGAAAGAGGCTATATTCATTTTCTATTTCTTCACAGCAAATTACCACAAATTATTGGCTTAAAACCACATCTGTAACTTCATGGTATGTAGATCATATCTCAGTAAAGCTGTTAAAGAACCAAAATATCCATTTATCATCTCAAAGTTTCCGTGGGTCAGAAGTCTTGGCGTGTCTTAGCTGGGTCCTCTTTCTGGGGTCTCACAAAGCCACAATCATTGTGTCGACTGGGGCTACAGTCTCATCTGAGGCTTGGAGTTCTTTTTTAAGCTCACGTTATTGTTGGCAGAATTCATTTCTTTGCAGCTGTAGAACTCATGTCAATTTGCTTCATCTGGGTCAACAGGAAAGAGACAATTTCTGCTGCTTCAAGTCTCTGACCTCTAGACCCTCTTATAAAGGGCTCGGTTGATTAGGTCAGACCCACCCAAGATAATATCCCTTTAGATTAAGTCAAAGGCAACTGATTAGGGACTTTTGATTACATCTACAAAAAATCTGTTCACCTTTTCCATAGAGTGTAACTTAATCTCAGAGGTGACATTCATCATATTTTTAAGTCCTGCCCACAGTCAAGAGTGGGGCATTATATAGGACATGTACACCAGGGGAGATAATTGGGGCCATTTTAGAATTCTGCCTACCACAGAGAGAGAGAGAGAAGAACAATCTCTTGAAAACAAGTTGGGGTATGGTAACTGGCAGGCACGTGTAAATGCAAGAAATAGGTTACATGTTTTTAAGGGAAATGTATGACCCTGTATTTAAAAAGCCTTTGACTATTTGAAATTTAAAATAACCCTTGTGCTCATATCTTCCATGAGCAAGAGATAGACTGGAAAGCTGGCAGCTACCAAGGAGGGCGTCCTCCTCTATAGTTATTACAAATGTGGTCAAGGAAGTAAGAAAGACAAGAACCTCTGTAGGTGAGGCAGGGGCCACAGAGAACAATGGACAGAGGATCTACAGAGTAGGAGGCCTCTGGACTAGTGATTATGGTGTGTTTCTCATTCCTCCTTTTTAAATTTTGTTCCCGTTCCTGTTCTTGCGTGTAGTGGTGGTGCTGAGGGGGTGGTGGAGCAGGGAGGCCTTCAATTATAAATTTTTTTTCTTTTAGTGCATATATCTACAGATCAAGAGAAACCACGTCTGAACCAGATGGAGAGATTACTGCATAATGTTAGCAAACCTGGACTTTGAATTGATGCAGGTTTCTCATGTGATGGGACTTGGGAGTTTCTTCCTTGGAGAGTCACTGAGTGTTTTCTCTTTGTAGAAAGAAGGAAGCGACTGAAAACTGAGTGACAGGACGTGTGGAGTGTGGTAGTGACGATGGAACACATCAGATTTTCCATGTACTCCTCAACATTTCTTAGCCAAAATTTCCATGCTGTGGTAAGTGTTGTGATTGTTCCCGAATATTCACTTTCTCATGCCACATGGGAGGATTAGGCATTGTTGCTTGTCATCAAGGGGTTTGCAGTGGTGGTTTCAGGATGAGTGCTATGGACTGAATTCTGTCCCCCAAAATATTGGTCATAAATTCTAATCCCTGAACCTGTGAATGTAATCCCATTTGGGAATAGGATTATCTGTTATGTTAATAAGGCCATATCAGTGTAGGGGGAGTCTGAAGCCAATCACTTCTGAGTTATAAAAAGAGCAGATTAGGCACAGAAGCAAGGAAGCACAGACAGGGGAAGATAGATGCCGTGAATATCGTCAAGGAAGTGAGGAACAGAAGCTGAAAAGAGACAAGGACCTTCCCCAGAGCCGACAGAGAGAGAAAGCCCTCCCCTAGAGCCGGTGCCCTGACTATGGAATTCTAGGCTCCTAAACTGTGAGAAAATAAATTTCTGTTTGCTAAATCCCCCCACTTTTGGTGTTTCTGTTATAGCAGCATTAGATGACTAAGACAGTGAGTACGTATTCCTGTATGTGCGACTAGCTTTGGACTATAAAATTTAAGCAGAAGTGATGGAGCCAATTTTGAGCAGAGGCTGTAAGAGCCGTTTACTATTTCCATCCATTCATTTGAATCCATGACGAGAACTAGGATGACGGGAAGATATCGTAAGTAAGGCGAATAGTATGAGCAGAATTCAAAGCACAGTACTCAGCATAATACTTTACAGGTATACTGAACAGAACTATTTAGCAGGATAGAGTAATTATTCTGGGTTATGCGCACACACACACACATACACACACTTATGCCCTTTATATTTGTCTAGAAAAGTGGTTATTATATGCCAGATCTTATACTGGTAGATATGGTGATGGTTCACAGGTTTAAGTCTGGACGAGAGGTCACAGTCAGGGGCAACAAACGGAGCTGTCAATGGAAAATCTCAAAGCAGAAAACCTAAGGAGATAAATGCATATTTATATTCTGGCTATGCATATAATTCAGAATATAAAGATTTAAAAAAGATAAATTATAGTCAACTTAATACAGGATTTTTTCGAGTGAGAAATTATTGGTCTTTCATTGCTTTGCTTGACATTTCTTGGTTTTTTAATTTGATACATGAATTGGCGAATTCATTTTATGCTCTTGAGAAGTACTTTTCCATATAAAACCTTACCAGGCATTTCCAGAGGAGTCCTACTCTGTCCCTTACTAGTTGTGGGATCTTGAGCAAGTTACTGAAAGCTTGCTGAGCCTCAGTTTCCTCACATATAAATTGGCTGTAATTACAGAGCTTAATTCACCTGAGTTTTGCTAGAAATAAGTGAGGAGAGGCATGAAAACACTTAGCACAGTGCCTGTATGTGGCAGGCATTGTCGCCTCTCCTCTTCCTCCCCCTTCTGAATCTTTTTTGAAAATATGAAATGGGGTGTGTGTGTGTGTGTGACTTTTTTTGCTTGTGTTACTTGTTTATTTGATGCATTAATTAATGAACTAATGATGCTTTTTTATTTAAAAATACATTTCTGTATAAATACTCCCGAGAATTTCCATGGGTGCCTTTGTTTTCTGTACTTTGTCTGTTCACAGCTAAAGTGTTGTGCCTGTTGTTTGACACTCGCCCTTCAGAAAACACACACACACAACTTACTATTGTCTATCTGATGGTAAAAGATGAAATAAAGGACATAATGTGGAGAAAGGAAGAACCTGGAGTTAGTGAGCCCACACATGAGCGTAGCTGCAAACATCTCCAAAAGATGATGTCATTAGTTAAGAAGGGTGATGTGAGTGGTAACCTGCCAAACGTTCCCTGTTAGAAACATTACCTTTCTAACCAAAAGGTGGGAAGTTCAAATTCACTCAGCAGCACCTAGGAAGAAAGTCCTGGTGATCTACTTCCATAAGATTACACGGCCATTGAAAACCTTATGCACTGCAGTTCTACTGTAACACACAGGGAGTAGCCATGAGTCGGAATTGGCTCGATGGCAGTGGGTTTTTGGGTTTTATTATATGCTTGCCCCTCTCAATACCTAATAAATGACAATATATCATGTCAAAATCTGTCTTCATGGAAGGGTCAGAAGTTCTGTTATTATTAGGTAATCCTGTCACAACATCTGGGTGACCTTTCTAGAACCTCCAGAAAGAAGCAAGACTTTCCCCTCCCTGAGTTTGGTACAGGCCTCCTCACCCTTAGATCTCAGATCTACACTCACGACCATAAACTTTCCTCATGCGGTTGCCTGGCACAAAGACTGGCAAATGCCATGTGCCATTTGCCATCAAATTGGCAAGTAAGGAAATCCAATTGGATCCTCTCGCTTGAAATTTTGCTGCCTAGACACGTTCCTAGCAGCATGGTCTGATGGACGGATAACGCTCTCGTACACCCTCTTGGATATTTAATGATAAATAATAGGCCAGTAAGGACTTCCCTAGCATTCTGTTTGATAGCTTCAGTGACTTGCTACTACATCCAGTGCGGTTATAAAAATGGATTTCGGATTTGCTTCAGTTTATCAAAAAGCTGTGAACTGTCCTTGAAACACTGTGGATTTTAATTGCTTCTAATGCCTGCCTAAAATGATTGGATAAAAAGTCAATTTGATATTTTCCCTTTTTCATGCAAGTAACTTTTTTTTTCCCCCTTTATAGCTAAAGGGGAGAAAAAAACCCACGGCATTGTCAGAATTGCCGCCTTCCACTTTATGAACCCTGAAGTAATGGAGCTACAAGAGGTAGGAGCGGGAGCCTGGTATTGACTGTGAAGACATTCTGCATCGGTTGGCTGTGAGCTGGGGTATCGTTTTCCCTCCCATCCTGGCACCTGGATAATATTAAATTCGAACCTTTGATTTGATTGATACACCTCAGCAGCAGAACATTTACACACTTATGTCATAAAAGCAAAGTGAAATATATCACTGAACGCGGCCCTGCAAGGCACATCGTCAAAATCAAATGACGTTAGCATCAATTTCACAGTTATTTAAAAAGCATACAAACTTGCACACACGCGCACACACAAACTGCCCATAGGAATGCCCCCTCTTTGATTCAGAGTGACATTTAGTAAAAAACATAAAGTTTGCCTGAAAGAAGCTGAGGTGGCAGCTTTAAATGCAATAAACAGGGACCTACTTACATATGCAAAACAGGCACTCACAGGTGCAAGAAAGGTAATTGCTGGTGAGAATCTGCGATTACCTGTTTTACATGCGCAACTGCCTGATTTGTAAGGGCAACTGGCTGATTCTGTCTTCCTCTGCATAATTTTTAAGCACAGATCAGTTGCTTGGGAAAATTTGGCACCAATATTTCTCTGTTCTTGGACCTAAAATAGATTATGTATAGAAGACAAAAGAAGGTTTACAGTCAGCCAGTCAAAGGCACTTACTCTCTGTTTTCATTTGTGAAAACGAAAACACAGAAAGACTCTTTTGAAATCTTATTTTTTCTTCCTCTTCTAACGAGTTTTTTGTTGTTGTTGCTTTTTAGTATACTGTCTTTCATTAGTGGTTTAAAATCTGCTGAAGCTAGGCGGCAACTTGCCTGCCTGTTAGTTTACCTGAAGGCCCTTCACAGCAGCGCATTATACATTTTCTTGGGAACAATTAAGACATACCATCCCCACAAAGCAGTTTTTAAGTGGGCAAAACATATTTAATGGAAGGGTTTGTGGCACTCGGAATGGAAATACAGTGAAAACTGTAGGGAATATGTACTTAGCCTAACACTAAACAGGTTCCTTATAATTCACCTATACACTCTTGGGTTTATGTATCCCACGTGCACATTCTAAGTGTTGTTAATGAAGTGTTTGTCATCTATGGTAGGCTAAGCAGAAGAGCGTAATCTGTGGTCAGCTAAAGGGTACTGTTAACAGCAATAATGCAAATTTAATATGCACATAATTATTGATCTGTTTAGTGAAAAGACTTATGAATAATATTCATATTTAGGGCTAGCAGGTAAGGTATCCTGGCAATCAGGCATCAACAGCTCAGCAATTGATGGATTTAGACAGGTTATACATTGTCATTCCAAAAGCATCTAATCAATATAGACAAACGTGTCGTAAAAGTGATTTGAGAAATACCTGTATAATACAAAAAAAAAAGAAAAGAAGACCAGATTCAGTGTCCTTCTCCCTTCTTAACATGATACACATATGTTTCCGAATCAGGACCATTTTTTATTACTTCTACTGCAAGAGCTCCCTGTAGGTCAAATTAAAACACAGCACGTGTCCAGTCCAACTACCCTGCTCTCCACATCACATGGTATATAAAAAAGTGTCGGAATCAGTGCAGAACTTGTATGTCACTCTCAATATGTTTTTCAGCATTGAAATTTGGGAGCAGGCTCTGTTAGAGGCCACTGTCAGCTCTGTTTAATACAATTACCTGGTTTCTTAGTTTAAAGGACACACTTCCTGTGACTGACAGCATTATCCCTAAGCTTTGTGGCATTCCAGATTTCTCACAAAGGAGTGGGTTCAAAGTCTCTCTAGTTACCTGAAGGCAGAGGTTCTGTATTGAATCTGATTTCTACTTTAGAAGTGATTATTGCAGGAAATCAGAATCAGTGCTTAGTCTCAGGAGCTGTCTTAGTTATCTAGTGCTGCTATAACAGAAATACCACAAGTGGATTGTTTTAACAAATGGAAGTTTATTTTCTCACAGTCTAGGAGGCTGGAAGTACAAATTCAGGGTGCCAGCTTCAGGGGAAGGCTTTCTCTTTCTGTCCGCTCTGGGTGAAGGTCCTTGTCATCAATCTTCCCCTGGTCTAGGAGCTTCTCAGTGCAGGGACCCCAAATCCAGAGGATGATCTCTGCCCCGGCTCTTATTTCTTGGTAGTAGGAGGTTCCCCTGTCTCTCTGCTCACTTCTCTCTTTTATATCTCAAAAGAGATTGACTCAAGATACAACCTAGTCTTGTAGATTGAGTCCTGCCTCATTAACATAACTGCTTCTAATCCTGCCTCATTAACATCACAGAGTGTAGGATTTACAACAGGAAGAAAAATCACATCAGATTACAAAATGGTAGACAGTCACACAATACTGGGAATCATGGCCTAGCCAAATTGACACACATTTTTGTGGGACACAATTCAATCCATAACATCCTACCCCATGGCCCCCCAAAATTCATGTCCTTGCCACATATAAAACACATCACCCCATCATATCATAGCAAAAGTCTTACATCAACTCTAAGTCCAAAATCCAAACATTCATCTTCATCTGTGAAATCTAGAATACAAGTTACCTGCTTTCAAAATACAATGGTGGAACAGGCACAAACTAGACATTTTCCATTACAAATGGGAGAAACTGGAGGAAAAGAAGGGGTAACAGACACCAAGCAAGTCAGCAGAACACAGTAGATTATCTCTCAGGGCTTGAGATAATCCTCTGTTCTCTGAGATCATTTAGGCGATGGCCCTGCCCTTCAGACTCTGAGTGTTGGCCACACTCTCTGGATTCTGGATGGAGGCCTCTCGGCCCTGGGCTTCAGCTCTGCCTTTCAGGCCCACTGGATGGCAACTCTACTCCCTCGGATTTGGGCGGCCCCATTCTCCTAGTCATCTGAGTGGCAAGCCCACTGTTTGAGACCCTGGAGGTCGTGACCCTAGCCTTTGAGACGGAGGCAGCTCTGCTTCCTGTGTTCCTTGTCTCTTTAGCTTCTCCTTCCTGGTTCCTTGGCCTCTCAGCCCCTCGGACCTCGAGGCCTGCATCTGTCCTGCTGGGGCAAGTGTTCCAAAGCTCTTTAGCTCACCAATAAGCGCCTAGAGGCAGCCTACTCTGTCAGGAGGCTTTTAGATCCAGGTGGCATGGTTGTGTTCCTCTCTGAGACCTGCAACAATAAGTTGTGTAAAATTTTCTCCATGACTTTCTTGATAGTAATAGTTTTTTTTTTTTTTTGAAGAGGAAGACACAGAGGAGGCCCAAGATATAAATTTAATTCTATGCGAGATAGTTTAGGTAGCTTTATTCTCACTCATCGTCAAATGTAAAACTCTGTGAGGACAGAACACAAAAACCCATTGCTGTCGAGTCTATTCCGACGCATAGCAACCTATAGGACAGAGTAGAATTGCCCCAGAGGGTTTCCAAGGAGCGGCTGGGGGATTCAAACTGCCGACCTTTTGGTTAGCAGCCTGAGCTCTTAACCACTGTGCCAGCAGGGCCCCTGAGGACAGAAACCGGGTCTTAATTGTTTCTTTCATCCTAGTAAAAAGCAGAGATACTCAATAATGTTCTTTCAAACGAACCTCTTCATGAATGAATGTATGTAGGATAATACAGGAAGGATGAGGAGAAGAAAAGAAAGACTATGTGAAAAGTTTTGGACCATATTTTTTCCATCTTGCATGAGAGTATTTTTGAGTGTGGACAGTGATTATCTAAACAGCCAGGGTCTCTGACAGGAAAGGACATGATGGAATGTACTGCAAGATCCCTATTTGGGGAAACATTAGCATTTCAAATATAAGGAGAAGGTGCAATCTCAACATCTTGTTGCCAAGTACAAATGATGCAATGGGCATTGTCCCTGATTAACAATCTATGCATCCAAAAAGTTATCAATGACCAGTAAAAGACTGAGCTATTTCTTGATAGTCCAAATTAATTATTTCGACCTTCTTCAAAAGATGACCAAGGACATTTAAGAAGAATTAAGTATTACTGAGTTAACAGATTTCAAGCCAGTGTGAACAGAAAAATAAGCCATTCACTCTGATAGGTGATAAAGGACAAAATGAAATACAGTATTGTTTTAACTGATACATAGATATAGATAGAGATACAGATTCTTGTTGAAACACATTTTCTTTGAGATAATATTCTTTTTCAATGAAGGCAATTTTTGTATGTATAAATAAATGTTAATTAATTTTTACAGAACTATATGACTTTTTGCAGAAAAATTTTACTTAACAAAGTGCTACGTGCCCTAGTTTTTTAAAGTTGGAACACATGAACATCCTATATATACGTTTTATACAAAATATACATCTGGAATGGAAAACAATGACTGTTTCATTACATAAAAAGGCAGCTAGAGATGATATAGGAATAACAATATCATTGAAGGAAAACTAGAAGTGAAGCCCTTTACAAAACAAGCATTGATTTTGAGGGAATCAATACGTTTGCGTATAAAAATTACACCTAGGTTGGAAAATACAATGGAGTGCTGAAATCTGGAAACCATTCATGGAAAATGAACCCTCGAGAATACAGGGCACAAAATGGAGATGCAAGCAAAGTGGTGCAAAGTTGTTTCTGAAAATCCTGATTTTGAGCCAGTCCAACTCAGGGAATTGGCTCCAAGCGTGTTTGCTCCCTGTCAGGACATAGGTCATCCCCTCTTCTGCTATCCTTTACGCTTGTCTTCTCTTCCACTCCCCACACCCTGTGGCGTTTCAGGCTTTGATCTTGTCTGTTTCCTGGGCTTGAACTGCCTGTGCTGTTTCTACGCTGGAGCTTCTGAAATACTGTATCTCACTTTTCCATATCTTTTGCATGAGAAATCGTTGTTAGAAAGGAAAACTAGCCTAGCCAGAGAACGTTCTCCAAGATGAGACAAGAGCAGGTGATTTTTGAGTTGTAAGGAAACTGGAAAGGAAGAAGGAAGACCAGTCTAAGACAAAAGGGGCTCGGAAAGACATGACGTTCATGTTTGTGTGCGCGCATCTCTCATCGTGCCTCTACCGTTGACGGATATATTTTCCTTGGGTGTGGGCGTGTGATAATTTGTTTTATTAGCACTAAGAACTTTCATAGAACACTTCTGCCAGATGTCAGATGGGGTGATCTAAAGGAAGAAGAACACAAGCCATACTACTATTACTACTACTACTAAAAATAGCAATTATTTGGGGGAGGTAAGAGTGAGCTACCGTTCAATCAGCATCAACCTGATGTTGCATTAAGTAGTACCTTGCTCTGGAAGGAGTCCCTGGGTGGTACAGACAGTGAACATGCTTGGCTGCTAACCGAAAGGTTCAAGTCCACCCAGA